CGTAACGACGTACGTACGTCCTAACGGGAACGGAACGAAACTAAAGGTACGAAACGAAAGAAGTAGTAGTTACTAGTTAGTAGTAATTAGTTAGTGTCGATGTAACTACTCTCTCTCTCTCTCTCTCTCTCTCTCTCTCTCTCGCGCACACACACATTCCTTAGGAGGTAGTATAAGTGTAAAATTGTAAATAAAGCAGCTTTATATGCTTTTGGAGGTAGTAAATTGTGAAATTGTAAATAAAGCAGATTTTGTTAATAAAAAGCAGCTATATTGTAGTGTTATCAGTTATCTTGATCTACCTCATTATATTTTTTTTTATTGAATTTTGTAGGATTATTCTTTTTCTTCTTTTTTTTGATAAAGTTAACTATATTTTGTAGGATTATTCTTAAACTGCACTTCAGAGAAATATAAAAATATTATCTATTAATTGAATAAAATACAATTATTTCCCATTTCTATGCCCATTTTTTACTGTATTTTGAGGGATTATTGGATATTTTACCTTAATAAATTTCTAGTTCTTCCTTATTCATTAATTAAACAATTGTATGTGATGCACTGATTGTACAGAATACATCCCGATCTAGAGAGTGTATTACATGTGATGATCCCATGCTCCCAATTCCAACAACTACAGAATGGCAACTAAAAGTTCATTTGGATTTGACACCACCAAAATTACTTAAACCTCTGTTTCAGTTCAGAATTATCTAGATTTGTTTAGTTCTTTGCCGCCAGTGAGTTTTGTCCATGATGTTCCTACTCTTCTAAAATAAGGATTCTTTTAATACATCTTTTCTGATTTAAGGTACAATCTGTGTGCACTAATTTACATTTTCTTCTGATTTTATGGGCTAGTGGGATCAAAACTTCAAACCTGATGGTTGACAGAAAGAACTGCTCTCTCATGCCACAGAGAGATGACTGGTTGAGAAGACAAGAAAAATTAAGAAGTTACACCCAGATCTTCTGTTTCAACCTCCAAACAGCCTGCAAGCAGCAATCCTGACCACGTTCTTCCTATTTACAGGTATTATGCCTTTCAATATTCTACTTAGTGGGCGTTAGGAAGAACAAGCCAGTAAAATATACAGTGTATACATTGTGGGTTCCCCTTGAATTGTACATATCTATGATTAGAGTAAATCATAAATAACATATAAACCCCTAGAAAGCCAAATGCATGTCCAGAGCATCCAACCACAGAGATGAAAATTATGCTCCTTTGTAATGAGAAAAAAATAAACCACACAGTGGTAAGACCTACTTTCTATACCTCCAAAATTTGACACATCCCACGAGTAATCGCGATACCAAAATAAGAATTTCTAATACCAAGAAGATAAAGATACTACTGAAGTTAATATAGAAGAGAACAACATGGAGAAGAATCTAACCATGTGTTGGTGACCAATGTATGGCATTGACTGCATTTGTATGCCCAGATAACTTTATTGAGAGACTTTCTGGAGTTTTACTGCTTTTTGTCCAAGCCTTTGTTTGGCGCCTCAATGATGCTAGAACATCATATGGCAAGTCTGCGTCAGAAATGCTACCCACACCTAAAGGCAATATTAGGGAACTTGAGATGAAATCATGAATAATTTTAGAATAAATCAAATGCTTGCCCGAAAGCCAATATGCAACAAGATATGCTAAATTGAAAAATCGAGGGAAAAAAAAGATACCATATACAGTGGAAAATTGCTACATGAAGTATATTTCAAGATAGAAATGCAATAAAATTATGTTAATGGAACAAAAGGTTTTATCAAACGAATATTTTCAAGGAAAAATAATAATTATATCAGTCCAATCAAGTGTATGAAACAGGAAGTCAGTTCACCAAAAGATTTATCTGATTACAATTGCCCTTACTTCCATGCACCTTTATTGATCCCTTACTACATAAGGGCAAGTATTGTTTTCAGCACACCATCAATAACTTCCATACCTCCATTTACCTCAGACCTGGCTATCATACAACTTTTAGAGGGGGGCAAAGTGTGCTGTCTAAACCATGAATACTTCATTAGTCTCAACTTAAAATGATTCTTTTCATTCTCCACATACAATCCTCATTTCCACCAATCATTCTCAGAAGTGTAGACATACAAAGTTTCATAACTTAGCCTAGACAAAGGTATGTGAACTGTTGAGCCAAGATTCAGGATAAACTGTGGTCTCAAATGGTTCCCATGGTACATGAATTCTTCAGTTTGGTGCCATACTTTTGCCAGAGGCATATTGACAAACAAACCCACATAAATTGTTTTGGACTCTTAATGTTTATTTTAACCAATGATTACATCGTTTACAAACTTGATCTCCTTTTTTGTTTTGATTAGACGAATATGAACTTCGAAAATGTCCAAGAAACTTCCAGAATATCTATGAATTCAACCAGTTAAGGTATAATTGATTATTTCTTGCTACTCATCATGTAATGAAATACTAGTTAATCATTGCTGAGTCTGGTTCTCTTCTTAACATGGTTGTGTCATCGAATCCCCTTCATCAGGGCATGAGGAATCCAACACCCCGTACCCGTGCCTGACACTGACACTGACACATGTCCCCGAGTCCATGGAACATAGAATGGGTCCTATATTTCAGATCCTGAATGGACACTCTATGTTTCCTGTAACAGTAATCTTCTCCAAAATGTAATATAGTGAACTTTTACCCATTAAGCATCGATTGTTTCTATCTTATCTGACTCATAGTGGGAAGTTCTCAAACTTAGGGCAGCCTTAGAATCAATTATTAGTGAAACACCAAGATGACTCAGGTCCTCATTCACATTGATACTCTCTTCTTGAAGAATAGACCTCCTCAATGTCAGTTTCTCCTTGCAACTTGAGCTTCTCATCTTCAGAAATTTGGAGGTAAATACCAGTAGGGGACTTAGCCCGTAAGGCCCTTCCATCACTCTCTGGGCACATACAAGCAATTCCTACTGTTGCTAATTAAAGTTTCAACTTCTGAAAACAGCAATGAGCAAACACTGTATGTTTGTTTGTAAAATACATGAATGGCTTCCAACATGGTTCAAAGATTCAAAGCTTCATTATACCACTCTTCACATTTTCCGATGTTCTAAGCATCACACTGGCCTGCAGTATTAGTTAATAAATGATAACAAAACTCTCCCAGAGCTTCCCCTGTTTGTTCATTTTCCATGTATTGGTTGCTCTGCTTCAGGTCCATCTTATTTAAAACCGTAAGACACAACACAAACAAGGCACTAGCTCTTCTTGCAGTTAAGTGTCCAAACGGAATAAGAAGGAAGGTCACTGATGAATTTGGTCAGCTTTTGCATGGAATAGGTGCACAAGCAAACATGTTTCTCATAATTTTTCCTCGCAGCAGCTATTCATATTTCTCTCCAGATGCAACAATATCTTAACCAACACAATCTTTCCATATTCTCTCTCCTTGTGCACCCAATCCTAACTGCAGTAGAGGATCCCAAATTGCGGCAAGAGGAAAGGGGTTACCCCTGCATATTGCACTTCATGAGTTAATTGTCTTAAGATTTGCCAAGCAAGTGTTGGTTTCCAGGATGCAGATGCTACTCAAATATGAGTTTGGTGCAACTAGGTTACCAAATTACCAAAAATAAGCTATTACAAAGTAATTTATAAAGGGCTAGTTTTATAGACTCTTTTGGTGACTGCACCCATCCATGCAGATCACTCACAGTCCATTTTAACAGATCAGTTGGGGCTTATGGGTCTGCATTATACGGATGGGTACATTTACTAGAAAGATTAGATAAAAACAGGGAACATACTTTATATACATAAAAGATATAAGTAGAATGTGTATGAAACATAACAGTCCATTTAACAGATCAGTTGTGGCTGCATCGGCATTACATGGATGGGTACATTTACTAGAAAGATTAGCATAAAAACAAG